CTCTGATCTTCGGGGATTTTTTAGGGATTTTTAGGGGGTTTTGGGCCGATTTTTTGGGATATTCGGGCTGGTTTTTAGGGCTTTTGGGGCCAATTTTTGGGTTATTTTTAGGGTTTTTTGGGTCAATTTTTTGGGGATTTTGGAGGCTTTTTAGTGATGATTTTTGGGGATTATGGTGCTGATTTTGGGGGATATTTTTGGGCATTTTGGGGGTGATTTTAGGGATATTTTAGGGGATTTTGGGGCCGATTTTTGGGGCTGATTTTTGGGGATATTTTCGTAGATTTTGATGCTGATTTTTGGGGATATTTTTGGTGATTTTGGGGCTGTTTTTGGGGATTTTGGGGCAGATTTTTGGGGATATTTTCGGTGATTTTGGGGCTGTTTTTGGGGATTTTGGGGCTGATTTTTGGGGATATTTTCGGTGATTTTGGGGCTGATCTTGGGGCCGATTTTTGGGGATATTTTCATAGATTTTGGTGCCGATTTTGGGGATTTTGGGGCTGATTTTTGGGGATATTTTAGGAGATTTTGGGGCCGATTTTTGGGAATATTTCTGGGGATTTTGGGGCCGATTTTTGGGGATATTTTCGGGATTTTGGGGCTGATTTTGGGGGATATTTTCGGGATTTTGGGGCTGATTTTTGGGGATATTTTCGGTGATTTTGGGGCCGATTTTGGGGCTGATTTTTGGGGATGTTTTCGGGCATTTTGGGGCCGGTTTTTGGGGATATTTTCGTGGATTTTGGTGCTGATTTTGGGGATTTTGGGGCTGATTTTTGGGGACGTTTTCGGGGATTTTGGGGCTGATTTTTGGGGATACTTTCGGGCATTTTGGGGCTGATTTTTGGGAATTTTGGGGCCGATTTTTGGGGATATTTTCGGGCATTTTGGGGCTGATCTTGAGGCCGGTTTTTGGGGATATTTTAGGGGATTTTGGGGCCGGTTTTTGGGGATATTTTCGGATATTTCGGGGCCGGTTTTTGGGGATATTTTCAGTGATTTTGGGGCCGATTTTTTGGGATATTTTCGGCCATTTTTTGGGCCAATTTTTTTAATTTTGGGGCCGGTTTTTGGGGATATTTTCGGGCATTTTGGGGCCGGTTTATTGGGATGTTTTTGGGGATTTTTTGGGCCAATTTTTTACATTTTGGGGCCGATTTTTTGGGATATTTTCGGCCATTTTTTGGGCCAATTTTTTTAATTTTGGGGCCGGTTTTTGGGCATATTTTCGGGCATTTTGGGGCCGGTTTATTGGGATGTT